GTATTTCCCCCTCATTTCGTGGGGGAATGACATCTGATGGCCTCAGTGAAGCCATCAAATAGCAAAGGAACGACATCTGATGGCCTCACTGAAGCCGTCAAATAGCATTTCCCCCTTCATTTCGCAGGGGCAACAATATCTGATGGCCTCACTGAAGCCGTCAAATAGTGTTCCCCCCTCATTTGGCAGGGGGAACAACATCTGATGGCCTCAGTGAAGCCATCAAATAGCAAAGGAACGACATCTGATGGCCTCACTGAAGCCGTCAAATAGCGTTTCCCCTTCATTTCGCAGGAGGAACGACATCTAATGGCCTCACTGAAGCCGTAAAATAGCATTTCCCCCTTCATTTCGTGGGGGAACAACATCTGATGGCCTCACTGAAGCCGTCAAATAGCATTTCCCCCTTCATTTCGCAGGGGAAACGACATCTGATGGCCTCACTGAAGCGTCAAATAGTGTTCCCCCCTCATTTCGCAGGGGAAACGACATCTGATGGCCTCATTGAAGCTGTCAAATAGCGTTTCCCCTTTATTTCGCAGGGGGAACGACATGTGATGGCCTCACTGAAGCCGTCAAATAGCATTTCCCCTTCATTTCGCAGGGGGAACAGTATCTGATGGCCTCACTGAAGCCATCAAATAGCGTTTCCCCTTCATTTAGCAGGAGGAACGACATCTGATGACCTAGCTGAAGTCGTCAAATAGCGTTTCCCCTTTATTTCGCAGGGGGAACGACATCTGATGGCCTCACTGAAGCCATCAAATAGCGTTTCCCCTTCATTTAGCAGGAGGAACGACATCTGATGGCCTCACTGAAGCCGTCAAATAGCATTTCCCCCTTCATTTCGCAGGGGCAACAATATCTGATGGCCTCACTGAAGCCGTCAAATAGTGTTCCCCCTCATTTGGCAGGGGGAACAACATCTGATGGCCTCACTGAAGCCATCAAATAGCGAAGGAACGACATCTGATGGCCTCACTGAAGCCGTCAAATAGCAGTCCCCCCTCATTTCGCAGGGGGAACGACATGTGATGGCCTCACTGAAGCCATAAAATAGCATTTCCCCCTCATTTCGTGGGGGAACAACATCTGATGGCCTCACTGAAGCGTCAAATAGTGTTCCCCCCTCATTTCGCAGGGGAAACGACATCTGATGGCCTCATTGAAGCTGTCAAATAGCATTTCCCCTTTATTTCGCAGGGGGAACGACATGTGATGGCCTCACTGAAGCCGTCAAATAGCATTTCCCCCTCATTTCGTGGGGGAACAACATCTGATGGCCTCACTGAAGCCGTCAAATAGCATTTCCCCCTTCATTTCGCAGGGGGAACAATATCTGATGGCCTCACTGAAGCGTCAAATAGTGTTCCCCCCTCATTTCGCAGGGGAAACGACATCTGATGGCCTCATTGAAGCTGTCAAATAGCGTTTCCCCTTTATTTCGCAGGGGGAACGACATGTGATGGCCTCACTGAAGCCGTCAAATAGCATTTCCCCTTCATTTCGCAGGGGGAACAGTATCTGATGGCCTCACTGAAGCCATCAAATAGCGTTTCCCCTTCATTTAGCAGGAGGAACGACATCTGATGACCTAGCTGAAGTCGTCAAATAGCGTTTCCCCTTTATTTCGCAGGGGGAACGACATCTGATGGCCTCACTGAAGCTGTCAAATAGCATTTCCCCTTCATTTCGCAGAGGGAACAGTATCTGATGGCCTCACTGAAGCCGTCAAATAGCAATTCCCCTTCATTTCGCAGGGGGAATGACATCTGATGGCCTCACTGAAGCCGTCAAATAGCTTTCCCCCCCATCTGGCAGGGGGAACGACATCTGATGGCCTCACTGAAGCCGTCAAATAGCAATTCCCCTTCATTTCGCAGGGGGAATGACATCTGATGGCCTCACTGAAGCCGTCAAATAGCTTTCCCCCCCATCTGGCAGGGGGAACGACATCTGATGGCCTCAGTGAAGCCATCAAATAGCGTTTCCCCTTCATTTAGCAGGAGGAACGACATCTGATGACCTAGCTGAAGTCGTCAAATAGCGTTTCCCCTTTATTTTGCAGGGGGAACGACATCTGATGGCCTCACTGAAGCTGTCAAATAGCATTTCCCCTTCATTTCGCAGAGGGAACAGTATCTGATGGCCTCACTGAAGCCGTCAAATAGCAATTCCCCTTCATTTCGCAGGGGGAATGACATCTGATGGCCTCACTGAAGCCGTCAAATAGCTTTCCCCCCCATCTGGCAGGGGGAACGACATCTGATGGCCTCAGTGAAGCCATCAAATAGCGAGGGAACAACATCTGATGGCCTCACTGAAGCCGTCAAATAGCGTTTCCCCTTCATTTCGCAGTTGGATACCCCATTTTTATGTGTTTTTCAGTGCTGGCGCAAAGGGAGGAGTATCATCTGGTCCCGTTGCAGTTGTCTTTCAGCACCAAACCTTAAACAGCTTTGCAGTCTGTGTCCTGCCTCCTTCTCCACTTATTGTGTGTGCATTGCATAAGAGAATCTGAACCAGTGTGGAAGAATACATTTAGTTTGTAGGACACTTCTGATGACAGACCCCAGCTGTGGATTGTATGACCAGTTGTCTTCTTGGCATACTGTGGGACACTTTTGAATGTATGCTTTAGTTTTATTTATAGTATAAATGTATAAAACTTGTATTGGGTAAAGTAAAAATTTTACTAGAAGTGAGTGTCAAACTTTTATTTGTATGGGTAGCCTAAGCAATGTATTATTTTGATAAAATTATTTTTTATAACAGTAGTAAATATCAGAGGCGCTATAGTTCAGAAAAGCTGCCAGACCTGACGGGATCAACCCCAGAATGCTCAAACATGTCGTGTGTTCGTACGTAAGGACCAGCTTGTGCTGACCTGCTTTCTGAAGTGTTCATGCACATGTGACCACTACAGACCTGTCACCCTGACCTCCCACCTGATGAAGACCATTTAGAGACTAGTCCTCACCCATCTATGTGCCGTGATGAGCCCAGAAATATACACACTGCAATTTACACACAAACCAAACATTGGGGTGGAGGATGCCATCTTCTACCGGCAGCACTTTTTGTTGACTTACCTCGACATGCAATAAAAGCACTGACAAACATGTTCTTCGACTTCTTAAGTGCTTTAACACTGTCCAGCCATCTCTGCAGCAGAAGATGTAGTATGTAGGAGTGGATGAACATCTGACTGTATGGACCATCAACTACCTCACCAACAGGCTACAGTAATTGAGGCTGCACAGTTAAGGCTTGACATCTGATGGTGCTCTCACCCTTACTCTTCACCAGCTACACCTCAGACTTCACTTACAACTACAGCAGCTGTCACCTCCACAATTTTTCAGACAACTCAGTCATTTTTTGGTGTGTGTCTGGAGGTAATGACCAGGACTACCAGTCACCATGGACTTTGTGTACTGGTGTCAGTGTTACCATTTATAGCAGAATCTTAATATGAATGACATAACAGTTTACATGTATCTTCCATTTTCAGTATTATTTACATGTTTTAAATACAAACTGCACTAAGTACAATGGCATGCAGCGCAGTGAAAGGTTTTCTCAGAGTTGGGACATCCCACGCAAAAGTGGTGGAATCATCTTCCACAGATGTCACACGAGCCGCATGAACCATAAATGCTGCGAGTTGTGAAGTGAGTTCCATCCGCGAGCTGCATCACCGCACGGAAAGTGAATGCGCCAAGCATAAGCCAAGCTTAAATGTTACTGCCCGTACTCTTTAGTGAGGTTTTAACTGGCCTAATGAAAATAGGTCTGATGGGGACATTCAGACATTCAGAAGGGGGAGGGTGTAGCCCTGGCTATATAAAAAGGTCAGTTATTTAAATAGTTGATTTGTATTCATGGTTAATTGCAAATGTTTAATGTGTTCAAGAATGTTTACAAATGTCTGTAAGGTATGTGATGTGTGTCAGTTAATGCACAGTTTTTGTATTTTGAGGTTTTTGTCATAATTTGTGATATGGTATTGATATGTACTACAACTCCAGTGAACCCTGAAGTAGTCTCAGATAGAGGGGTGGGAGTAAGGGGGAGCCTTGTGCACTCGGCAAGAAGTGAGAGAGAGACGAGAGCTGAACAGTGTCGAGTGAACGCAGAGTTCATAGAAGGGCGACAGAAGTATTTTCGGGTTGACGGATGTTAACTGGAGTGGAAACCTGTTGTACCCTACTGTGAGCGGAGTTGTGTGATACTGTGAGGAGGAGACGGAGGTCTTGCTGGCGTGTCGGAGAGGTCCCTTTTGCTGGTGTGCTGAAGTTATGTGTTCACGTGGGAGCATGCGGAGACGACGACTGAGTACTGCTACCGCGGCCTGCTGGTAGCCTTGACTCAGTTTTCCCCGGCTGTCCCCTTAAACTGCCAGGAGGTGTGAGTACTGTTTGCACGTGTTTTTTTTATTTTACTGCTTGGCAACAAGTGAAGCGACCATATTGTTTTAGGTCCCAACGTACCCGAGCCACGACTCAGGCCTGCAACGAGGGGTGGGCTATCAGTAAGACTGTAGTACTTGCGGTGTGTGTGTGTTGGTGAGAGTGCGTGTGGGCCCATAATATTATTCGATTACTTTGTTTATGTTGAAGTAGATACCGTACCATTGTTCAACAAACTTTATTGATTTTTCTTTTTTTTTTGTTGTGTTAATTAATTGTTCACTAAAGTGGAGTTAACTTTTAATTGACCTGCTTGTGTGTGATTTCTTTTTCCTATATAGTGTGGTTTTATTGCACATTTTATACCATAAGCCTCAAAAAGGGAGTATTAATAGGAAAGTAACAACAGGAACCCAGGGCCCCTCTCAATAGAAGTGGGACTGGTGTAACACAAATTGGAGGCACCGCTGGGATACTTCCATGCTTAACTTTTCTAGTTTGTTTATTAGAGGAATATTTTGTTTACAGATTTGCACAGCTCAGCACACCAGCAGTAAGGTTTGTAGGATGACTGCTCAAAAAGAGTCTCAATTTGCACCTGAGCTTAGTAGCTGGTGCAGTAAAGCAGGTATAGACCCAAACAGGGCTTTTGTGCTGCATGATGTTCCTACTGACTTTGACTTATCAGACATTGAAGAGACCGCTCAGTCAGTAAAAGCTTTTGGGAGAGTAAAAGTGAGAGACAGTGTTAATTTTGACAGGAAATTTTAATTTTATTTTAGTCTTAGTCTTTTGGCTAAAAATTAATTTTAGTCTTAGTCCAATTTTAGTCATTGGATTTATTTTAGTTTTAGTCCCATTTTAGTCGACGAAAATAACAAGTAATTTTAGTCGATAAAAATAAGCAATTTTAGTCAACAAAATGCATATATTTTTTCTAATGAAGTAATTTCATACTTTTGTATAGAGCACGGAAAAACTAGTGTAATTTAATACACAGGGTCCAAACTCTTAACCACCACTGATCAGATATAGCACACACAGCTGAGAACATAGAATATTTGAATAAAAAAACACTTCACATGTTTAACACTTACGTGTTTAATAAAAAAACAAAAAGCACACTGGAAATTACAAAGGTGCTCTTTTTAGCAATTGCACAAGAAGAATTTACAAGAACAGCAAATTTAAACATGTTAACCCTGTCTGTAGATATTCACTTGTTACAACACAGGCTCAACCAAACAGTGTGAATATTTATTTGCTGCGATTCATTTTGAGAAAAGCACTTCGTGCTAGTGTGACCTTTGCTCGGTTGCGTTTCCCTCTAGTGAGGTCACCTGTGATACTGAACACTCTTTCTGCAAAAGATTGAGAAGCTGGCATTGCCAATATATCTAATGCTAATGGTTTCAGGCTGTGATAAAATGTGTCACATTTTCCAAGCCAAAACTCCATTCCCGTTTCACAAGTGATGGACTGTGAGAGCTCTTCCTTATACTGGCTTATCTGCTGTCTTACACTACACTTGGAAGATTTTGGTTTAGGCTTTGTTCCGAATTTGGAGAGAAACCTAAAGACTGGTTGTCTGGAGGAGGAGGAGGCAGATGATGAAGAGGAGGCGGCGGCGGGTGGTGCCGGTTCAGGTCCATTCAGTTCCTCCAGATCAGAGTGGTTCTCCTGTGTCTGAGAACACCGAACAACATACCCTTCTGCCTGCTTGAGCAGCTCCTGAATGTTATCATCAGCCACATTGAGGAGGGTCTGACACACAGTAGGATTGAGAAAGCAAGCAGCTGCTACAAGCGGGGAAAACTTGTCATCTGAGGGATCAAGTACCCAGGCAAAACGCTGGTTCACATTACCTTCCATTTTACGGGCTAGAGCAGCAACATCTCGACTTGTGTTTTGTTCCACATCTGCCAGATGGCTGAGTAAATCAAAGAGAGCAGGGAGTATTAATGACATCGACATTGTGTCACTCTGAAGAGTTTGTGTGTGTTCAGCAAAAGGCTGCAAAAGTTCTTGCATTGACTTCAGCTTCTGCCACTCACTTGAGAGCAAGCAGTCCCATCCCATCTCGTTTGCTACTTCACAAACAGATTCTTTAACTTTGAGGAGACGTGCAACCATTTCATAAGTACTTGACCAGCGTGTGGGGCAGTCATTCACAACAGTTAGGCCGCACTCATCCAAAATCTTCTGTGTTGCGACTGATGACTTGCGAAAAAGTTTCACGATTGATCGGACTTTGTTCAAGACTCTGTTGATGCTTTCCTCCTTGTTTATCATGTGGACAACAAGCTGCAGCGTATGGACGACACATGGCATCCTGTCCATGCCCATGTCCTGACACTGCAGGTTTTCTGTCTCCTTGGAATCACTTTCACTTAGGATGGATGCATCTGGATCATCGGAGCTGGAATCTTCATCTTCTGGAGCACTATGTTTGAATGCTGCCACCATATTGCTACCATTGTCTGTTATTACGGAGAGAACTTTCTCATTTGGGATCCCCCATTCTTGCATGCACTTTTCCACACAAGCCTTAATGGACTGGGCGGTGTGCGGATGGTCAAGTTGTTCAAGAGCTAGCAGTAAGTGTTCTGGTTTTTGTTGTTCAACACAGAAAAAGCAGCAACTTATGCCAAGGAATGATGCTGTCAGTCCCTTTTTAGTCCACAGATCAGTCCCAATACATACTTTTCTGGCACTAGACAGTCTTTTCTTAAATGTAGCTTTTTTGTTTTCATAGTGTTTTTCAATTAGATTACTTATCTTGGTTTTCTTTGGCACAGTAAACTTCTTATCCAAACTTTCCATCATCAGAATAAAATCCTCATCTTCTACTGTTGTGACCGGCAATCCTGTACATCCAATCCATGTAGCGATAGCCTCTTCTTTAATTTGTTGATCTTTGGCATCACTCTTGTACTTTGTAGTACTTGTAAATGCGTCCTCAATGTTCTGGTTGGACATTTTTGCCTTTTTGGTAGCTGGTTGGCCACCATCAGCAATGGTTTTCTGCAACTGCAAAAAAATAAAAATACACAATTAAAACATTGACTTTCTAACAATGATTTACCTGTTGCTTTTTGAGATTTCATACATTATATTATATATATATACATACACACACACACATAAACATCTGTGCGGGCTCGGGACTCAGATCATATTAGTGCAAACCAGACATTGTGAAAATTATAAACAGCCAACAGCATGCTTCACTTTACTGGTCTAGTCCTGGTTTAGAGCGCACGTGCAGCGAGCGGCTGTGACCCAAAAAGTACCAGAACCGCTCACGGCGCATGCGCAATCATGCTTCAACACTGCTCGCCCGCTATTTCCCTAATAACACACGTTATAGTCATGAAAATACGGTACTTCCGAATTTTTGTCCCAACATGACAGTGCTGATACAGTTTTATTTGCCTGTATATTACTTTTCGGGTCGTCACGTGTACAACATTTAAGTGGATTTACCTCGGAGAAAATGGCGAAGTGGCCATTCTGTAGATGCCTCTTCAGATTCGTTGTGTTCTTTCCTCGGAACGACAGTCCACACTCTCGGCATGTAGTTTTGGTAGCAATGTTATCATAAGAAAAATGACTCCACACATCTTCTCTTCTTTTTCGCCCAGCAGTTAACATTTTCCTCTACTCCTTCTTCTTATGCCGTCGATATATTCAGTGAGCTATGTTTAGCACACCGCGCATACCTGCCCCTTTATACTATTCAGGGTCTGTCTTCTCTCACGTCACGTTCACGGCACGCCACGCCCCTTGTCTTCTACTACGTTCGCATCTCACAACAACACAATAGTCGCACCGCGCCATGTAGAAGAGCGACCTGCCCCTTTATACTATTCAGGGTCTGTCTTCTCTCACGTCGTCCCGCACGTTCACGGCACGCCACGCCCCTTGTCTTCTACTACGTTCGCATCTCACAACAACACAATAGGCGCACCGCACCATAGAGCGCCATGTAGAAGAGCGTCATCGTAGATTTTCGTCTCGTCTTTCATTCGTTGACGAAAAGTTTCAATCAATTTAATTATCGTCTTCGTCTTTTTCCAAGCATTTATTTTGAATTTTTGTTTCATTTTCGTCTGTAAATATATTTTCGTGACGAAAAAAAAGACGAAAATATTTTGTCAACAAAATATGGTGAGAGATAGACTAACAGACACCCAGACAGGCGATAACCTTGTGCTGTGTGAATGCCGCCAGGATATACAGCCAGACCGCATACCACCACATGTGCAGCCATTGAACGGAGGTCCTGTCTGGAAAATTTTTCTCCTCGCTGAATCTGTGAGGTCAGCTGATGACTTCTCAGCCAAGCTTAAAAAACTAATGGTAGAAGAAGGTAAAACCATTGATTATGTTACTGCCTTGCTGTCTACTGGAACCCCACAGGAAAACTCCCCCGAATCCATCATTCGGGCAGTCGGAGACTTGTTAGCGAAAACTATGCGACCTACCAGTGAGAATACTGCATCTCAACGTCTGCGGACATTTTCTGGCCACTCTCCCACGCTGGCAGGTGAAGAGAGCCTTGATAGCTAGGTTGAGCAGACTCGCCTGATGATTGAAGATTGCGACTGCTCTGAGCGAGAGAAGCGAAGGAGAGTAGTTGAGAGCCTAAAGGGACCGGTGTTGGAAATCATCCAAGCTGTACGGCGAGATAATCCTGATGCCAGCCCAGAGAGCTATGTAGACGCTCTAGAAAGTGCATTTGGATCCCTGGAGTCTGGTGAAGACTTGTACGTCGCCTTCAGGAGCCTGGGTCAACTGCGAGGTGGAAAGCTGTCAGACTTTCTGAGAAGATTGGAACACTCTTTGACTAAAGTAGTACAGTGAGGGGGTCTGTCTAGCCATCGAGTCGACCGTGCCCATATTGACCAGCTTATACAGGGTGCAACTGAGTCAGAGATCATGTTACTGCAGCTAAGACTCAGAGAGAGGAAGGAGGAACCACCTACTTTCCTGAGGCTGCTCAGTGAGATTTGAGAAGAAGAAGACCATGCAAGGTTGAGGTATGAGTCAAACACCACAGTTAGACAAGTGAAAGTTGGCAAAGAGACCAAATACAAATTAACCGAGGTTCAAGAGGTCAAGGCCAAGATCAAAGAGTTACGCTGTGAGCTTAAAGAGTTAACAAGCAAGCGTTCAGATGACGAGCTAATGTCGAAACAAACCAAGAAAGTTGCTGAGGCTGGGGCGGAGAATGAAGTCCAGCAGTTAAAGCAACAAATTGAACAGTTACAACACCAGCTGACTGTTATGGCAGTGGCACAGGGTTCAACCCAAAAGGACTCGACAAAGACAGAGGGGAGAGCCAAACGAAGCAAAGTAAACAGACCATATGCTGCCAAAGATTCAGAAAGCTACTTCTGTTAACGGTGTGGGGAGGACGGCCATATTGCCACCCGCTGCATGGCTCCTGAAAACACTGCCAAAGTAAACCAGAGGCTACTTGGAGCCCTCCGTAGGGGCAGAGAGGAAAAAGGGGCTACAGGTGGCGCTTCCGAGCCCACACAGGTCGGTTCCATCAGGAAAAGTTCCGTGCACACATCCTCACCGTGTAGACTCCCAGATGGATTGGTTGGTCCATCCATGATGACCGAGGTGACCATAGAGGGACAACCATGTAGAGCTCTCCTTGACAGCGGCTCTTGAGTCACCATTATATTTGAGGGCTGGTAGTCCCGTTTCATCCCCAATGTGCCCATTCTTCCTTTAAAAGATCTCGCCATATGGGGACTGAGTGATTCCAACTACCCATACAAGGGGTATGTGGCAGTTGAAGTGGGTTTTCCCCCAACTCAAAGGAAGCTGTAGAAACAGTCACAGTCTTGGCTTTGGTGTGTCCAGACCCAAAGAGCCCAGACCCTGTTCCTGTCATCATTGGCACTAACTCCCAGAAACTGCATTCTCTGCTGAGAGATTGTGAAGAGGTAGGAGGAAAAGATGAGGTTCGCTCACTGAGGATAAATACCCTCTCCTCAGAACAGCCCTCATCACTTATCACCAAACGATGGGTCATGTGAAGTGGCAGGGTCCCGGGCCTATCACTATCCCTCCTCGTGCAGTGCTGTGCAGTATGCAGTGTGCAAAGTGGAACAACAGCAGCCATTAGACAAAAGTATTCTAATGGTAGAGGTGGGTGAATCCACAAACCTCCCTGCTGGCGTGCTGGTTCCATCTGTGGTACTACCTTCTTCTGAGATGGATACTAACAGTTTCACAATTCTGCTAAGAAATGAGACCCAAAGAGAAACTATTGTCCCCACCGGTACAGTGCTAGCTCAGGTGTACTTGGTGGACACTGTCACTGAGTTAACAAAGACCTCCGCCCAGGAAAGGTCCATTGATCCTGAACTGTTTGACTTTGGAGATTCTCCTATCCCTGAAGAGTCGAAAGCCAGGTTAGCAGCAAAGTTAGCAAAAAGAGCAGATGTCTTTTCCCTTGAGGAGTGGGATGTTGGCTTAGCCAAAGGTGTCACTCATCACATAAGGCTGAGAGACCTGCGACCATTCAGGGAGAGATCTCGCAGAATTGCACCTGCTGACACTGAAGATGTCCGACGCCATCTACAAGAGCTGCTGGCAGCCGGCATAATCAAAGAGTCACGCAGTCCGTATGCTTCCCCGATTGTCATAGTCCGGAAGAAGAATGGCAAGGTGCGGATGTGTATTGATTACCGTCTACTGAATTCCAGAACCATCCCAGACCAGTACACTATGCCCCGCATAGATGAAGCAATGGGATTGCCTGACAGGAAGCAAGTGGTTTTCTGTAGTGGACCTGAGAAGTGGCTATTACCAAGTGGAGATGTCTGAGGCTGATAAAGAGAAAACCACTTTTATCTGCCCTCTTGGGTTTTTCCAGTTTGAGAGGATGCCTCAAGGCATTACTGGCGTGCCCGCAACCTTCCAAAGGTTAATGGAGAGAGCAGTTGGAGACATTAATCTGATTCAAGTCCTTGTGTATCTGGATGACCATATTGTGTTTGGCAGGACACTGGAGGAACATGACGAACGGCTACTTAAAGTCCTGGACCAACTGGAGGAATTTGGTCTCAAAGTCTCCATTGACAAGTGCCAGTTTTGCCAACCCCAGGTGAAGTTCTTGGGACACATTGTCTCTGCCTCTGGAGTTGCCACTGATCCTGAAAAAGTGAGTGCGGTGACCCACTGGAAGAAACCCACTAATCTGAAATCCCTAAGATCTTTTCTCGGATTTTGTGGATACTATCGACGGTTCATCAAAAACTACTCCGCCATAGTCTGCCCTTTGACAGAACTGACCTAAGGATATCCTCCTGCCCAGGGTAGCAAAAAGGGTGTCACTAAAGGAAAGCAAAATAGCTACTTTCGAGTTGCCGAGCCGTTTGGTGATCGGTGGACTCCAGCTTGTGATGACGCCTTTCAGAGCATTGTTTACAAGCTCACACATGCTCCAGTCTTGGCATTTGCTGATCCAACCAGACCATACATTCTACATGTTGATGCCAGTTTGGACGGGTTAGGAGCAGTCCTGAACCAAGAGTACCCAGAAGGACTCCGCCCGGTAGCGTTTGCCAGCCGCAAGTTGAGTCATGCAGAACGGAACTACCCAGTTCACCAACTGGAGTTTTTGGCTCTGAAATTGGCAGTAGTGGAGAAGTTCCATGACTACCTTTATGGGGCTAAGTTCACGGTGAGAACTGATAATAACCCACTCACCTACGTCCTGACCACTGCCAGGTTGAACGCGACAGGTCATCGGTGGCTAGCAGCACTTTCCACCTATGATTTCAACATTCAATATAAGCCCGGCCGTGAAAACGTGGACGCCGATTCACTGTCCAGAAGTCCGCAAGACACAACAGGTGGATGGGTGGATATCCCACCTCCTGGAGTAAAAGCTGTGTGTCATCGGATCACTACCGATGGGTTTCAAGAACAAACCACCAGATTTGTTGACCAGCTGGGTGTTTCGCCATACGCCATTCCAGCTTTATATGCAAACTTCACTCAGATAGAAGTGAGCCCGCTGGAACAGCTAAGCCTGAAAGAACTGTCAGAAGCCCAAGACTCTGATCCCATTATAGGTGTGATGAAACTTCAAGTTGAGAGAAACCAAAGCATTTCAGCTCCTACACATGCGAACCCAGATGTTGCGTTGCTCATGCGAGAAAGATCCAAGTTAAAGGTTAAGCGTGGCCTTCTCTACAGAGTCACCACAAGACCCTCTGGTCGAGAAGTAAGTCAGATCGTCATGCCCGCTAAGTATCGGCCAATGATATTAAAGTCAGTACATGATGATGCTGGTCACCTGGGCACAGAACGAACTACAGAGCTCATTAAAGACCGGTTTTACTGGCCCAGAGTGGCATCTGAAGTTGCAACATACATACAGAACTGTGGAATGTGTGTAGCTAGGAAGTCCATCCCACAGAAAGCACATCACCAGTAATGGCCCTCTAGACCTGGTCTGCATAGACTTTCTTTCTATTGAGCCTGACTCTAAAGGTATAGCTAATGTGCTGGTGGTCACTGATCATTACACCAGGTATGCTCAAGCTTTTCCCACAAAAGATCAGAAGGCACTGACTGTTGCCAAAGTCCTTTTTGAAAAGTTCTTTGTGCATTATGGGTTGCCTGCTCGCATTCACTCGGACCAGGGAAGAGATTTTGAGAGCAAGCTCATTAAGGAGCTATTGACCCTGCTGGGCATTCGTAAGTCCAGAACGTCACCCTACCATCCTCAGGGTGACCCGCAGCCTGAGCGTTTCAATCGTACTTTGCTGGCAATGTTGGGCGCCCTG